CCCTCCCCTTCCTAAACCCCGCCCTCCTCAGGCTCCACCCCCCCCAAATCTCCAGGAATTTCCCAGCCAGGAGCTGGCAACCCTGGGCCTGACGTATCTGGGGAAATAAACCGAGACTCACAAAAGCTTATACTGAAATAAATTTTGTTCATCTTTATGATGCTGCTGAACTCCAGTGTAATTTTGCTCCAACTGATTAACACAGGAATTCTCTGGAATTAGGACTGCATATATTTTTTTTATTTTCCCCCATTGTTTTCTGGGAAAAACAGGGGCGTTTGGTGTAGTGGTTACGTGTGTGGACTCTAAACTGGGAGATGGGTGTGATTCCCCACTCCTCCACTTGCACCTGGTTGGATGACCTTGGGCAAGCCATAGTTCTGACAAGAGCTGTCCATGAAAGGGCAGTTCTTGAAAGAGCTCTCTCAGCCCCACCTACCTCACAGGGTATCTGTTGTCGGGAGGGGAAGGAGTTTGTAAGTGGCTCTGAGACTCTGAGTGAAGGGCAGGGTATAAATCCAATCTCTTCTTCTCCTTCTTCTCTTCTCAACAGTTCCAGAAAGTTTACTCTCTACTATCGCCTTCATTCAACACCGAGAACTTTTCACATTCTAAGGAGTAGAAAGGAGTATAAACGTTATGTAGACCTAAACTGCCCTAAAATAGAAACTTTATTAACAATACTATACTATCAAATGTCTTAAAGACAATAAATTTAACAATCAATTCTCCAGCTATAGCAGTTACATTTGAGTTATTACCTTTGTTAATATTATCTAGTTGGGAGCCCGTTTATGTGGATCGTTATACACCAAACTGTGAACCCTTCATGGGTTTATGATAATCATGTGAAATTGTCCTTTTTCTCAAATGGTATACTGACTGATACAACAGACATGATCTCAAAAAGAGGTCACATCCGGAATCCTTGTCTCATGACAAATGTGTATTATTGATTCCACGGCTGCATACAGCGTCTGGAGCCGTATTACTTGTGAAGACGTTCACAACGTCCCTGCAATTGTTTACATATTGATTTGTACTACATGGCTCCTTTTACTGGCAGTTCAAAGTTATGAGCCGGGTTTCATTTACGATTTTTTTGCTGTATGTTGTGTTGTAACATTGATTGTTAAATTTATTGTCTTTAAGACATTTGATAGTATAGTATTTGTTAATAAAGTTTCTATTTTAGCGCTGTTTAGGGTCACATAAGGAGCTGCGGTGGCTCAAGTGGTTAAGATGCCGAACTGCAGGCTGTGGAAGGTCAGCAGTTCAGCAGTTCGAGACCCGAGTTGCCGCATGATGGAGTGAGCTCCCGTCTCTAGTTCCAGCTCCTGCCAACCTAGCAGTTCAAAAGCAAGAAATTGCAAGTAGATAAATAGGTACCACTTCACTGGGAAGGTAACAGCGTTCCGTGCACCTTGGTGTATAGTCATGCCAGCCACATGACCACGGAAATGTCTTCGGACAGCGCTGGCTCTTCGGCTTTGAAACGGAGATGAGCACCGCAACCCTAGAGTCGGACTCGACTGGCTTTCGAGCAAGGGAACCTTTACCTTTACCTTTAGGGCTACACAGGGCTTTCACTCTTGTGTTCTCTGTCAACGCGTCCAACAACAGAGGGAAAATTATCTCAAGGGCCCATTTGTTATGGGAGTATTTGGGATACCTCCTCCTCCTCAGCCCCAAACTGTGGAGGAGGAAGCCCATAGGCGAAGAAAAGCCTCAGAAGAAGGCTGCAGGAACTTATGAGGTGGACCCAAAATGGTTTCCCCTCGTTTCTCCCTTACCTCACACCAATGGGTTGGCTCTTGAGCTCGTAGAAGCTGTCGTCGTTCAACGAGAGAATGTTCTCCAAGTCAATGTCGGCCACAATCCCGGATTCGGGGAGCAGAGAGTCGAGGCTGTTTGAAGAAATACACGGGCCGTGAGTCGCACAGTTTTGTTCCCCTTTAAGTGTGAGGGCCGTAATCTCAGACTGCGATCACACACACTACATAACGCACTTTCAATCCACTTTCAATGCACTTTCCAATTGGACTGTACTGTGTGAAATGGCAGAATCCAGTTGGAAATTTCGGTGCACTGAAAGTGGATTACTTAGTGTGTGTGATCGCAGCCCCGGCCTGCAGACAAACACTCAGCCTCCCTCTCCCTCTCCCTCTCTCCCAAAGACAAAACCAGATTTTGTTAGGAACAGCTGTCGGTGAAATCCGCTCCAGTGTTAGCAATGCCTCCTTACTTTTGGGGGGCACCCTCTTCTCCCACAACGGTCACCACACTTCAGATAAATTAAAAAACAGTCTGTCCTGACAGCTGCTGTCTAAATCATGCTCACCCTTTTGTTGTTGTCGTCAAGCCGCAGCCGCAGGGTTTTCAAGGCAAGAGGTGGGTTTGCCGTGGCCTGCCTCTGCATGGCAACCCTGGACTTCCTTGGTGGTCTCCCGCCCAAATACTAACCAAGGCTGACCCTACTTGGCTTGCAAGATCTGATGAGATCAGGCTAGCCTGGGCCATCCAGGTCCAGGCAAGAGACCAGCAGAGTAGGTGTGCCATCGCCTGCCTCTGCGTGGCAACCCTGGGCTACCTTGGTGGTCTCTCATCCCAATGCTAACCAGGGCCAACCCCGCTTAGCTTCCGAGATCTGATGAGATTGGTCTGCCATGGCCTGCCTCTGCATAACAACCCCACAGTTTCCTCGGTGGTCTCCCATCCAAGTACTAACCAGGACCAACCCTGCTTAGCTTCCGAGATCTGACGAGATCAGACTAGCCTGGGCTATCCAAGTCAAGGAAGAGACAAACAAAGGTGGTCTGCCATGGCCTGCCTCTGCATAACAACCCCACAGTTTCCTCGGTGGTCTCCCATCCAAGTACTAACCAGGACCAACCCTGCTTAGCTTCCGAGATCTGACGAGATCAGACTAGCCTGGGCTATCCAAGTCAAGGAAGAGACAAACAAAGGTGGTCTGCCATGGCCTGCCTCTGCATAACAACCCCACAGTTTCCTCGGTGGTCTCCCATCCAAGTACTAACCAGGACCAACCCTGCTTAGCTTCCGAGATCTGACGAGATCAGACTAGCCTGGGCTATCCAAGTCAAGGAAGAGACAAACAAAGGTGGTCTGCCATGGCCTGCCTCTGCATAACAACCCCACAGTTTCCTCGGTGGTCTCCCATCCAAGTACTAACCAGGACCAACCCTGCTTAGCTTCCGAGATCTGACGAGATCAGACTAGCCTGGGCTATCCAAGTCAAGGAAGAGACAAACAAAGGTGGTCTGCCATGGCCTGCCTCTGCATAACAACCCCACAGTTTCCTCGGTGGTCTCCCATCCAAGTACTAACCAGGACCAACCCTGCTTAGCTTCCGAGATCTGACGAGATCAGACTAGCCTGGGCTATCCAAGTCAAGGAAGAGACAAACAAAGGTGGTCTGCCATGGCCTGCCTCTGCATAACAACCCCACAGTTTCCTCGGTGGTCTCCCATCCAAGTACTAACCAGGACCAACCCTGCTTAGCTTCCGAGATCTGACGAGATCAGACTAGCCTGGGCTATCCAAGTCAAGGAAGAGACAAACAAAGGTGGTCTGCCATGGCCTGCCTCTGCATAACAACCCCACAGTTTCCTCGGTGGTCTCCCATCCAAGTACTAACCAGGACCAACCCTGCTTAGCTTCCGAGATCTGACGAGATCAGACTAGCCTGGGCTATCCAAGTCAAGGAAGAGACAAACAAAGGTGGTCTGCCATGGCCTGCCTCTGCATAACAACCCCACAGTTTCCTCGGTGGTCTCCCATCCAAGTACTAACCAGGACCAACCCTGCTTAGCTTCCGAGATCTGACGAGATCAGACTAGCCTGGGCTATCCAAGTCAAGGAAGAGACAAACAAAGGTGGTCTGCCATGGCCTGCCTCTGCATAACAACCCCACAGTTTCCTCGGTGGTCTCCCATCCAAGTACTAACCAGGACCAACCCTGCTTAGCTTCCGAGATCTGACGAGATCAGACTAGCCTGGGCTATCCAAGTCAAGGAAGAGACAAACAAAGGTGGTCTGCCATGGCCTGCCTCTGCATAACAACCCCACAGTTTCCTCGGTGGTCTCCCATCCAAGTACTAACCAGGACCAACCCTGCTTAGCTTCCGAGATCTGACGAGATCAGACTAGCCTGGGCTATCCAAGTCAAGGAAGAGACAAACAAAGGTGGTCTGCCATGGCCTGCCTCTGCATAACAACCCCACAGTTTCCTCGGTGGTCTCCCATCCAAGTACTAACCAGGACCAACCCTGCTTAGCTTCCGAGATCTGACGAGATCAGACTAGCCTGGGCTATCCAAGTCAAGGAAGAGACAAACAAAGGTGGTCTGCCATGGCCTGCCTCTGCATAACAACCCCACAGTTTCCTCGGTGGTCTCCCATCCAAGTACTAACCAGGACCAACCCTGCTTAGCTTCCGAGATCTGACGAGATCAGACTAGCCTGGGCTATCCAAGTCAAGGAAGAGACAAACAAAGGTGGTCTGCCATGGCCTGCCTCTGCATAACAACCCCACAGTTTCCTCGGTGGTCTCCCATCCAAGTACTAACCAGGACCAACCCTGCTTAGCTTCCGAGATCTGACGAGATCAGACTAGCCTGGGCTATCCAAGTCAAGGAAGAGACAAACAAAGGTGGTCTGCCATGGCCTGCCTCTGCATAACAACCCCACAGTTTCCTCGGTGGTCTCCCATCCAAGTACTAACCAGGACCAACCCTGCTTAGCTTCCGAGATCTGACGAGATCAGACTAGCCTGGGCTATCCAAGTCAAGGAAGAGACAAACAAAGGTGGTCTGCCATGGCCTGCCTCTGCATAACAACCCCACAGTTTCCTCGGTGGTCTCCCATCCAAGTACTAACCAGGACCAACCCTGCTTAGCTTCCGAGATCTGACGAGATCAGACTAGCCTGGGCTATCCAAGTCAAGGAAGAGACAAACAAAGGTGGTCTGCCATGGCCTGCCTCTGCATAACAACCCCACAGTTTCCTCGGTGGTCTCCCATCCAAGTACTAACCAGGACCAACCCTGCTTAGCTTCCGAGATCTGACGAGATCAGACTAGCCTGGGCTATCCAAGTCAAGGAAGAGACAAACAAAGGTGGTCTTCCATAGCCTGCCTCTGCATAACAACCCCACAGTTTCCTCGGTGGTCTCCCATCCAAGTACTAACCAGGACCAACCCTGCTTAGCTTCCAAGATCTGACGAGTCAGACTAGCCTGGGCCATCCCGCTCACTCTTGCCTCCCTCACTCCACCCCAAGTTATCTGCAGAAAATAATGTCGGGCTGCTTCATACAGCCAAATTGGTACGCTGAGAAGCAGAGCCAGAGCGGTGTAGTAGTTAAGAATGTCAGGTTAGTAACTGGAAGCCCCGGGTTCAAATCCCCACTCATGCCACGGAAGCTCGCTGGGTGACCCTGTGAGCGCCACACGCTTTCAGCCTAACCTACCTCACAGGGTTGTTGTGACACTAAAACGAAGGAGAGGAGGAGGATGGCAGTCCCCTTGGGTCCCCATTGGGGAGAGAGGCGTGAGACGAATGAATCAAATAAAACTTTTCCACGCCCCCTTTCCACCCAATCAGGGTCCACGAGGCGGCGAAGGTCAGAAATGTTAAAACATTTAAAACCGTTAAAAATACAGTTAAAATGATAAAATTAGATTAAAAACACACACACACAATGCTGGAAAGAAAGCCAAGGAGCGTCATCGGGGGTATGCCAGGTGAAAGCAAAAAGTCTTTACCTGCAGGCGAAAGACACTGATAGAGGGAGAGAGACATATCTCCCTGGGTTAAGTGCAGAGTTCCCTCTAAGCTGAGTTAGTGTGAGCTAGCTCACCGTTTTCTAGCCTCCAGCTCACAGATTTTTGTCTTAGCTCAGGAAGGACGGCTCCACAGCAGACTGATCTATGCAAGCTGTGACGCAGCAGTAGCAGTACTGGAGAAGGAAGCAGGAGAGAGCCAGTTGCTCAAGGGCCGGACGGGAGCCCTGCGGGGGGGAGGACGGATCCGGCCCACGGGCCACATCTTTGACATCCCTGACCTATTACCTCTACCCCACTCTGTACCTTTTGTGAATTCCTTCGTTCAAAGCCTTTTGCTATGCAATCCTCTGCAGGGTTACTCCAGTCTCAGTTCACTGAAGTTAATGGGCTCAGAACGGGGTAACTCGGCCAAGGATTGCACTGCGAAAAGCGCTCTTCGCCCACGATGCATTCTGGACACATACAAAATCTACACTTCGTAATTTACAACGTCAGGCTCTTTACACAATGTCACACATTGGGTCAAAAGAAAACCCAGCCTTCAGATATACAAGGATATATGTATACTACACTACCCTTTGTGGTGATGAAAGCATTGTCACCACTCCACGGAACATTCACAAACATTCCAACTGCTCAACAACAGAGTGTTCAACAGGGAGGAGGATAATTGTCAGTTTGGGTTGGGATTAAAGCAACCCACAGCCCCGAAAGACAGCTTTGTGGAAGACTAGAAAGAGATCCTTGGAGGGAGATAGCAAAGCTAATGGGGTTAGGTTTAGGGGAAAAAGCAAACATAAAATGGAGAAGCATTTGCCCTACAAAGTTAGTGCTCTTGGTTTTTAGAGAATAAGGGGCAAGAAGTCATAACCGAAGTTCACAAGCTAACGAACAGCAGGAAGGCAGGAACGAGGACACAGCCTTAAAACACCTGGATGTGAGCAGACACCTGTAGGCTGGTCCTCCAAAAGGCACTTTCTGAAACTGAACGCAGGACAAAAACAAAGGAAAGTTTTTCTTCATGCCAGCAAACAATTGCCCTCGGCAATTTATTCTCCGGAAATCGTACTGGCCAATATGCCTTTTTAAGCACATTAGCCTTG